CCCCCCCCCCCCCCGGCATGCCACACTCAACCAAGAACTCTCAACGTGTAGCCGCCGACGCTGCCGCTGCTGCCGCCGCCTCCACCTCATCTGTTGCTAACTCCTCAGCCGCAGCTACCACCTCTTCCTCCCCCACCATGGCCCAATCATCCAGCATTGATATGTCCAACATCCGCTCCGACTCCGTCGACAGCATCGCCCGCAACCTCGCAGGCGAGCAAACACCAGCACCCGATGTCGCCATCGACCTCGCAACTCTTTTCCACATGATGACATCTCTCCAGTCATGCATCGACTCATCACGCTTTCACCTCAAATTCATCGCAGCTACCCTTGGTGCGTCTACGACTAAGTTTCGGGCCCTTCTCGACATTGGAGCCGCCGGTAACTTCATCACCGAGGCGTGTCCGGAAAGCCGGTCTCACCTCTACCGGTTACGACTCCCCGATTACGATTCGTTTGGGGGACAAAGACACCGCCGTCGTAGTAGACCGCACGGTTCCCGAGACCACCATGACTGTCGGAACCCTCTGCAGTCAGGTCTCATTCGATGTCATGCACTTAATGTGCGATATCGTTTTAGGAACATCGTGGCTGGACCGCTACTGCCATACTCGTTCCACCCCAACTTCATCCGCCTTACCAACCCCCCTGACACAACCATCGACATTCCCTATTTCCCCTATCCCCCCTCCCCAAGCTCGGTCACCGCGCACCAATTCCTTCACATGGCCCGTATCGTACGTACCCAGACTCCACCTACTATTGCCTTGTCCTTGATTGCGAGCGTCCGGAGGACTTGCTCCCAACGGACAAGCCCGACCAAGCCCCCCCCTCCGACCCCGCCCTGACCTCCATCCTCAACAAGTTCAAGGACGTCTTCCCCAAGTCCTTGCCCGCCGGATTACCTCCGGATCGTGGCGTATCCCACACCATCGATTTGGAGCCCAATCACTCTCCACCTTGCCGCCCTCCGTACCAACTCTCCGTTCCGAAAGCCGAAGAAATGAAGCAGCAATTCAAGGAACTCCTTGAAAAAGGATTCATTAAGCCAAGTTCATCCCCCTTCGGCACAAGCTGCCTTTTCGTCAAGAAAGGCGGAACATCAAAACTCTGAATGTGCACAGACTACTGCGCCTTGAATCGGATCACGATCAAGAACAAGTACCCCCTACCTCGGATCTTCGAGCTTCTTGATCGTCTCCGTGGAGCCAAATACTTTACCAAAATTGACCTCCGCAGTGGCTTCCACCAGATCCGCATCCGCGAGGAGGACACTCACAAGACCGCATTCCGTTCTCGCTTTGGGCACTACGAGTTCCTTGTGATGCCCTTCAGACTCACCAACGCCCCCGCCACATTCCAATCCACCATGTACCACATCTTCCGCGACCTCCTCGAAGTCTGTGTCGTCGTTTACCTTGATGATATCCTTGTCTATAGCCCTACCTTCGAGTCCCACCTTCAACATCTCCGCCAAGTCCTCTCTATCCTCAGAGAGCAAAAATTCTACGCCAAGCTCAGCAAATGCACCTTTGCCCTTCAAGCATTGAATACCTTGTCCACATTGTCTCCGCTGAAGGTATACGCATGGACCCCTCGAAGGTCACCGCCCTCATCAAGTATCCACCACCCAAGACCCTACTCCAACTTCGCTCATATATCAGCCTTGCCAACTACTACCGCCCCTTTATCCGTAACTTCTTCGACATCTCGTACCCCCTCCACGAATTCACCCGCAAGGACGAACCCTTCACTTGGAACCACCGCTACACCCAAGGCTACCTCTCTTACCCGGATTTCTCAACAATCTACAACAAACTTCGTGATCTCGACTCAGTCCCCGACTACTCCCTTCACGACCAACTTCTTTACATTGACACCAAAGGCACTCGCCGACTTTGCATCCCCGACGCACGTGGCCTCCGTACCCAGCTCTTGGCCGAGCATCACGATGCCAAGACTGCAGGACACCTCAGGTTCCAGAAAACCTTCGACACCATCTCTCGTTACTTTTACTGGCCTTCCCTACTCGCTGACGTCAAAACCTATATTTGCTCATGCCCCACATCTCAAGCCGTCAACCCCCCAAACCGTTTCAAGCCCGACAAGCTACAATCATTGTCGATCCCCACCCACCGGTGGTAATCCATTTCCATGGACTTCGTTTGCGGTCTCCCCAAGACTGACCGCGGACATGATTGCATCTATGTCATTGTTTGTCGCTTGACTAAATGCGCCCACTTCATCCCTTGCACCACATCGCACAACGCCAAGGACGTCGCCATCTCTTCTTCGACCATATCGCACGCCACCACGATCTCCCCGAGAGCATCATCAACGATCGTGACCCTCGCTTCCTTTCACAATTTTGGAAACACCTCTTTAAAGCCTAGGGAACCACACTCAAGTATACCACTGCATTCCACCAACGGACTGATGGACAAACTGAGAAGATGAACGATACTCTCCAAAGAATCCTGTGAAAGTATTGTCATCCACATCAACACGATTGGGATCAGTTGCTCACTGCCGCCGAGATCGCCTACAATAATGTTGTTTGTCCTTCCACTGACATGTCTCCATTCTACCTCGACCTTGGCTATCACCCGCGCTTGCCCTCCGACTTCCTGCTCTCCTCGCAACTCCCCTGCCCTTCTCTCAATGGATGGGTAGCAACAATGAACAGACTCCTCAGAGAAGCTACCGAAGCCCTCGAAAAAACACAAGAACAACAAGCTAACAAGACTAACAAATACAGACGTGACCTCTGATTCAAAAAAGGGGACAAAGTCTGGCTCTCCACCAAACGCTTTGAACCCGAACACGGCTTGTCCAAGAAACTCTTGAACAAATGGCTCAGTCCCTTCCCCATCATTGAACAAACCTCCCCCGTCAATTACAAGCTCCAACTCCCCCCTGACATGAGTCGTGTCCACCCTATCTTCCACATAGAATACTTAAAAGAATACCATGAATCCCCACCCCAATTCGCTGACCGCCCTTACCCCAAACCTCCACCGATCATGCTTCCCACAGGCCCAAAATTCGTAGTACAATCCATCATAGGTCGACGAACCACACAAGTATTAGACCATCTGGAACCAATCACAAAATACAAAGTTAAATGGATTGGATACCCTGACGAAGAGTCCACATGGGAACCTCTTCCTAAACTTAAGAATGCTATGAAACTTGTCCGCGCCTATGACCGTGCTCACCCTATATCCTAGATACATAACATAACTCAAACCCTAAACCCTTGCATAAGCCCTGCCTTGACACCGCCAAAACCCCACATTCCTGCTCTACACACACCCCTGTACCCAGCGAAGCCCTTGCCTCTTGACCCCCCCCGCTGTCTGATCCGCCCTTGCCTCCGCCTGGCCCGTTCTCCCATCTGTCCTCTGCCACATCCTTGTCTCTCTTGTCCAAATTCTCTTTGTGGCCCCTGCGCGTCGCCGACGATAATGGATCTAATCGCAAGCGCACGAGGACGATGGCATGCTGCAGCTCAGTACGAGGAGATAAGACAACTGGTTGGCCACCATGCTGTTCCCTTTGGCTGGCACCTTGGACTCGCAGACTTTTGGAGCAGCACCTCTGACATGGACATCAAGATCAGTCTGCGACCTGCTATCCGGAACAGACTTCATCATCAGATCGTGTACCGGACGCAACCTGCTACTGCGACAATCAAGCTGAAGTCCTTGCCGTCTACATCACGGAACTGCTGAAGACTGTTTTCTCACTGCCACTTCTGCGACACCCTCCAAGACCTTCCTCAAGACATTTCTTTGCTTTTGACACTTTGTTACAGACCTGAGACGCTGTTTTCCCAGACCCCTCATACACCCCAGCACTTGAGCATTGAACAAACATTTTTTTTTTTTTTCTTTCTTTCTCAAACCCGACAACCTACAACCTTGTAGAACACCAATAGGACCTCCCTGTTTGTGGCATACTGCGCAGCCACACGGGCCTGCAGGGCCCGACCAGCGTTTTTAGCCTAAAAGCCTGAAAACAAGTGCTTACAGGCCCTGTGTCATTTCAGCCGGAAAGCCTGAAATGGGCCTTCAGGCCCTATGTCGTGTCAGCCTAAAACAGGGCCTTCCAGGCCCTGAGTCTTTTCAGCCTGAAACGGAGGGCCATTTTCAGGCCCTCGTAAGAGCGACATGCCCTGAAACTTAGGCACCAGACCAGGCTTTTAGCACAGGCCATTTTTGGCCTGTTTTCAAGACAACCCTTGGTTGAACTTCAACGCCAGGGTCTGGCACGTTTTGGCATTGGCAAGAGCAGCCTCCTGGACGGGCCAGCACTATATAAGACTGGCCCGCCCTACAGGCTGCAGACAGTCACGAGGTAGTTCATAGGAACTTCCCAGGCACTTCACATGCAGGAGGCAGGAGGCAGGAGGCAGGAGGCAGCCTTCAGGATTCGGCAGCAGCACTCTGGAGGAGCACTGCAGTAGTAGGAGTAGCGTTAGCAGTAGTCTTCAGCGCTGGGCGCTATCAGGAGCTAGAGTAGTAGTGGAGAGACAGAGATGGTTGGCGGAGGCCAGGGAGACTTACCTGTGGCGCCATAGCTCCAGCTTCGTCTTCGATGTACCTGCATCAAGGCGCCATCTTCACAGGTTAGTACTGGACAGAGAGAGAGAGAGAGAGAGTTCTGCCTCTTCCTCTTCTAAGTCCACCATCTCCTCCTCCCCCTCTCGCTACCTGACTTCTCAGTATCTGCAGACTACGAGAGAGAGAGAGAGATTGGTGTCTTTGGGACTTGACGACATTTTGGTCCAGACTCGACATTGGGATTCAGATATTTGACGAGGGCTTATCTGGGACCTATACTGAAGACTTGGTGTTGACGACATTCCCATCTTCCCCTCTTCTTCGTCTAACCCCCCTCTTCTTCGTCTGTGTATGGTTGGGGACTGGTGCATTCTTCCTGTGTGAGCGCCAGGCCCCTTCACACCATGGAATGATGATGATGTATGTCTGGTCTGCATGGCAACATTGATTGTCCGGATCATTGGTATTTAAGCCTTCCGCTGTGCTATCTTGTACTATGTGAGAGAGGTCGGTTCTTGTTCTGGTCTGTACCATTATGGTATGCGACAGTTCGGTATTGGAGCGGACCTCTCAATCAGAGGACCCGCTCAATCAAGTAGCCAGCTTGCTTGATCTATTGATTGTTGATTGATTGATTGATTGATTGATTGATTGATTGATTGATTGATTGATTGATTGTTATGTAATGAACCCAGGCGAGATAACACACACATTGGACATGCAGGTACTGTTCACAGCAACGCACAAGCATCAGCGCTGGTGCAGTACAAGTCCCGTGGCTCAATGACAAAGCAACTCGAGTAATCCAATCTTGTTGATGAATAATGT